TGTGTTTCTTAATGCATATTATGTCTTATGGAAAGCCCTGAGTTGCCTTGTTGGTGGACCGTGCTATACAAATAAACTTTCATTGCTTCGTACAGACCATTGTAAATGGTAAATGGATGGTAAATGGACCTGTACCTGTATAGCGCCTTTCTAGTCTTCCGTCAAAGCACTTTTACACTACATGCCACATTCGCCCTTTCATACACATTCACACACCGATGCACAGCATCAGGAGTAATTCGGGGTTTAGTATCTTGCTCAAGAATACTTCGGCACATCCCGGGAGGAGCCAGGGATCAAACCAACAACCTTCCAATTAGTGGACGACCCGCTCTGCCTCTGAGCCACCCCTATATCGTTATATGTACCCTTACCTGAATATGAAATGGTTTGAGATATTGGTCATATCACACATCCCTTTGTGGACCTTTCCAAGTGAGTGAGGATTGAAGGCCCATCTCATACAACAATATGTCCCCTCTTGGCCTAGTGCCCTCACAGACTTAAGCATAAATTATATTTTGCGCTGTGCAAGGGTCTACTATGTAAATTTTAGGGTGTACGCATAGGCTCTGTGCTGCGTATCGGTAATAATTTTGAGATAAGATTTGTATCACGACATAGGGTTCCGATTCAATATATTGCAATGTATTGCAATACTGTAAGCAAGGCAATATACTGCAATTTTTTTAAAATCCTGATTTAGAACAAACCACATGCATAAAATCTGAGTAGAAAAGTAGATTTCCTTTATGCAACCATAACAGTGGGATTTGTATTCATCAAAGTCCCTGTAACATCCAACATCATGGCCCTCATTTTACGTTTCGGACACTGCGAACTAGGAGGTTTGAGTACTGAGCCTATGCATGCTCCCAAGATGATAAACCCTTCAAATATCATCTAACACGCAGACTGTTGAGCATTATCTTGGTCACAAGTAATTAAATTTTTGACGTGGGTCTTTTGGTATCCAATGACTCAGCAAAGACTGTCAGCAAGTTGCCATTTGCAACAACAGCTTCAAGGACTATAAAAAGCCAATTGTAAATGACAGTGGTGTGGCCCGACCACAATGTCCCCACAACAAATGTCCTTTCTATATCACTTCTGACAGTCTCTCCTAGCCTGTAGCCATGTAAGGCCTCTCAGTCACAAATAGCCTGGACAGTCATGATCCTACAGTCGACATTGTAACAACTCCCAAACCAACAGCCTTGACACTCTTTCTGAGAGGAGCAACAATTCAAAGAAGGTGGGGGTCTTTAGAGGGATCACTAAAATAGACATACCAGTATTCAATGCTCTTATAAATAATTGTGCAGGCATTGTAATAGCTCCAAGTTGGGATCTTCTGGGGACAGATGCTATGTAGACAGCTGCTGAAAGAAGCATTCTATTCATTGTTTGCTGCCTAATCTTGTCAACAGCATCATGGAGACACTGGAGCGACTGCAGGAATATCGCTATGTTCCATTATCTGAAACAATAAATTGTGACTAATTTTTCAGTTCACAAATGGACTCTGTAGCTGGATTTGGCAGGGGCAGCAATCTGAATTTGACTGACTTTGTTCATATGTCCCTTGATGTGTTCACCATCATCACGAGTCAGCAAGGGGGTGCTGTGCTTTGACAAATGAGATGGGATGTGTGACAAGAGCCTGATTTTATAAGGAGTTCGGTCTAGACCTGCTCTATTTGAAAAGTGTCCTGAGATAACTTAATTTGTTCTTAAAGAATAGTGACCAAGATATCCTCTGTGTGGAACAATTTTTCTGTGTAAAAATAAACGTGTCAGTGCTCTCTGGTAGACAAATTATGTAATGGAGGCACTGTTTCTAATTACCTCAAAAATATCTTTGGAATTCCTAAACTGCAGCATTTTTTTTTTTTTCTCATATTGGCAGCCAAAATCAACCAATATATGCATATTGCTGAACTAGATTGCATCATTAGGAGGAGTGGCCCCCATTGTAGCAACCACTGGCTACCTGTGCATTTTTGAGAACATTCAGGTTTTGTTCATCACCTTTAAAGCAAAACTATGGAGCTTTGGATGTAGAGCAGCCACTCTGGCCACAAGTGACAACTGTGAGCTAATGGCAAAAGCACAATGAAGAACAGTCAGCAAAATGACTCAGTGATGTCAGTACACAGCAATATCTACGCTCATACCAGACCAAGTAAGGGTGTAGTAGCAAAACTCTGAAGCCTTTTATTTCTTAAGAGTAGAGCCCAAGCATTATGGGATTTTTGAGACTGATACAGATTTTATAGAGGAAAAATTCACAGATAACTGATATGGTGGCCAATATACTGAATTTTTGAGCTGAAATGAAAATTGAATAATGATATTTAAGTTAATTATTCTTTAACATGTTAAATCATTTTTGAAATCACTGAGATCTGCATCTTCTCTCTTACTCTTCGCAGCTTTGCAGTGACACTAGTATAATACCACAAGCATTTTTTCCTGCATTATATATTGGAAAAAAACAGATGACAGATGTATTGGTCATGAGTTCAAAATAAGAGGAAGAATGTACTTTGGTCTTACAAGAGTTACACAGACATTTTCATTTATCATTGTTGGAGGCCTAAAGTGATTACGTTCTCTAATTGTAAAAATGTGTAGCCATTACACACAGAATACAAAACTGGCTCTTTTGATAGTAAAGGTTGCTGACCCCTGCTGTAAGTGATTCTTCTCAGTTGTTAACCCCCCTGCGCCTCAGATGATGGTGCCAAGATCCTTACTAATGAAATCCATCATGCCTTGGAAGCTGCTTGAGAAAGTTAGGCTGTGCCTAAAACTCAAAATCTGACAAATCTGCTTTTATTATCTTGATTATCTTGTTTGAGTTAACTTTTTATGTTGATAATCTTATTGCTTTAGTCATATTTGAAACATTGTTTTGCAAAGTTCTCTATTAATAATTATGCATTTTATTTCACAAGCAGTGGTGGATCTAGAGGGGTGGAATGGGCCCCTAAAAATACCTGTCCAGCCCAGCTGCCACCCCAGTTTGGGGTCAAATACTGTCAATAATCTGTTGTGGCCACAATTTAGACTTAGTGATAGGCTTAAGTTCAATTAAAAAAGACATGTCTTTGGCAAATTGTCTGAAGATTTGGAAATAAAACAATGTAGCCTATTAATTTCTAATGCTTAAATATTTCTGTTTAATGTTCAATGTTATTATGTGCCACAATGTTTTTGAAATCAGATATCATCATTTGGGGGCATTTCCAAGCAAATATTGATATATGTGATTGTTTGCGATTAAATCAGCTTATATTTTTTTAACCCGTTAAAGTCTCCATGCCATGCTCTGGACACCAATGAATATTTCTCTAAATCCGCCCCTGTCCAAAAAATTTAGAACCAAAAGAAATTCCCGATCTATAACTTAAAAGAAAAAGCCTGTGCAAATACACTGAGAACAATATTGTCTTTCATTTCAGGGGAGATGATTGAGCTGCTGTGTAAATGTACTGCGGCTACCTCATATGTCTATACCTGTTTGCATTTGTCCTCTGCTCCCTTTTTGTCCCCCTCAGCCTGCTCTGCCCGGTCTATCGCATTCTCCTTATCCAGCTTCAGCATCTGCATCTTCTTCTTGATGGCTTCCATGTTTCTTCAGGTTGTGTGTTCTCAGCAGAGGGAGAAGGTAAGAGCTTTGGTTATCCGGACAGACAGAGGCACCGGTCTGTGAAGGTGGACAGGAGCGCGCGAGAGGTTAGTCTGAGCGACTTGCCGACAGCTCGAGGATGGAATACCAGCTGCACGAGCCCCAGACTTTTTTTTTTTTCCAGTGGGGATACGCACGGGGAAGGTTGCCCTTATTTAGGCAGCAAGAGCTGTCCATTCTGTGCGCGTGACGTCTGTCTCTGTTTTCATCGATTTCTTCACATTCGCACGTGCAGGTATAACAAAATGACACACCTCAGATCGTATCCAAGATATCTATGGAGAAAGCTTCACCCAGAGAAAACATTTACTTTCCTCCTAGAAAGTCTTGAAATCTTAATGATGCTAAGAAAATATACAATTTCTTTTAAAAAGTAGCAATACTATGTGAAAACACACACACACACACACATTATTTACACCTTGAATATAGATGTAGCATGGAATGGAAATACTCAAGTAGTAAGTAAATGTGTTCTTAAGTACATAACTTAAAAAAATATATAAAGTTACATTTTTCATCAACCTTAATTAAATATGATTAGAAATAGAAAAATAAATGTCATATTTAAAAAACTAACTCTATATCATGAAATGTTAATTTGAAGATGTAAAAATGTAAACTGAAAAGACTTAATTAAAGAGAACTGTCAAAGGTTGCATTTAAAGTCCCCCTCCAGTCAAAAATCTGTTTCTTGATTTTGTGACATGACAAGTAGTTTGGAAGTCAATCCTGGTGCAATATGCAACTTATACAAGTGTGATGTAGAATCTTAAAGGGCACATACACTAACTTTACAGTGAAGTAGGAGGCATCTTGTGTCCAGCAGGAAATGTCAATAGGGGCCCAGCACCTTATCTTTGCACAAAGGCCCCAAAGAAGGTTAATTGGCCCTTTGTAAGTCCCGCCCCTTTGCTCCAATAACAGATGAGCAAGCCAGTCAGAACCTCTGTTCCTGTACTTGGATATGCTATGTGCAGGATTTGTCTATTCTGAAACCCAACCAAATTTGCGGCCTGTTTTTGTTTTTTTGTAGCAATGGGGAACAAAGTGAGAAGGACAGAGACAGAGACAAAGGTGCACAGCAACAACAAAGAGCAACAACTATACTAGTAGAAATGACTGATGATGATGACAACTCCAATAGCCACAACGATGGGGTAAGATGAATAATAATATTATTAATAATGATGCTAATAATGCTAATAATAATAATAATATCAATACTATTGGCAGTGGGGGTCAAGCAGGACCATGGCAGCAGGCACCACCAGGATCCATGAGAACCTGCGAGACAAGAAAGCACAAACACTCCAGGGAAGAAGTGAAGTTAGTAATATGCATTAATGGGAAGTCAGTCTAGGCCTACAGCAGCATAACTAAGTGATGATTCAGGACACACCTGAGCCAGCCTTAACTATAAGCTTTATCAAAGAGGAACGTCTTAAGCCTACTCTTAAATGTGGAGAGTTTGTCTGCCTCCCGAACCACAACTGGAAGCTGGTTCCACAGGAGAGGAGCTTGGTAACTGAAGGCTCTGGCTCCTGTTCTACTTTTAGAGACTATAGGAACCACAAGTAGCCCAGCATT